GCAGTCTCATCTTCTCACCATCATGGGTCTTCACGTGCAGGATATTGTGAGCGCCATTGCTGCCGCCAGCTATTGGAAGCTGGCGGGTGCGGTTCTGGGACTGGTATGTCGTACTCGTTTATGACGTTCCCACGTATAATTCTGGTTCCGATACTGACTGCATGGCGTACAGCTTGTCGTCTATCAGGCCCTGTCCACGACGTACAATGTCTTCTTCCATCCCCTCCGTCATTACCCGGGCCCCTTCCCCCAAGGCGCGTCCAAGATCCCCTGGTTCCTGCATCAGACTGGCGGCACCCTCGCCTTCCACACGCAGCGCCTCCATGAAAAGTATGGCCCCGTCGTCCGCATCGCACCCCATCATCTGTCCTTCACGGACCCCCAGGCCTTCAAGGATATCTATGGCCACCGCATCGGTGCCGCGTCCGACATGCCGGAGCTGCCCAAGGCAACCATGTTCTACCACGTCTCGCGCAGAATCCCGCACAACATCATCTCGTCGACCATCGAGGACCACCGCGGCCTGCGTCGCAGCCTGGCGCACGGCTTCAGCGACAAGGCCATGCGCGAGCAGGAGCCCATCATCGGGCGCTACGTCGACCTCCTGCTGCTGCGGCTCCACGGGCTCTGCGGGGCGGCGGCCGAGGGCACGGCAGCCGTCGTCGACCTGAAGAACTACTACAACTGGACGACGTTTGACGCCATTGGCGACCTCGTCTTTGGCGAGAGCTTCGGCTGCCTCGAGGCCAACAAGCAGCACCCCTGGGTTGACGCCATCCTGTCGGCCGTGCACCAGGGCGCCTTCCTCATCGGCCTCATCTACCTCGGGTTAGGCGAGCTGGTCGAGCTCGTCATGCTCCTCGCACTCGCGACCTCGGTCAAGACGCTGTCGGCCTACACGGACGCGCGCCTCGAGTCGCGCCTGGCGGCCAAGCCGGGACGCGCCGACCTCTTCGAGGGTGTGCTGCGGAAGCGCGACGAGCTGGGGCTGACGTTTGCCCACCTCGCCGGCAACGCGTCGCTGCTCGTCGTCGCGGGCTCGGAGACGACGGCGACGCTGCTCTCCGGCGCCACGTACCTGCTCGTCTCGAACCGCCACGTGCTCGACAAGGTGACCAAGGAGGTCCGCGAGACCTTTGCCTCGGCCGACGACATCAACCTGTCCTCCGTCGGCGGCCTGTCGTACATGCTGGCCGTGCTCAACGAGTCGTTCCGCTGCTACCCGCCCGTGACGTCGAACCTCGTGAGGCGGGTGCCGCTGGGCGGCCAGACGATCGCGGGCAACTATGTGCCTGTAGGGGTGAGCATTTTTGACCCGTGCTGCGTCGAACGTCGAGTCTGTTTGCTGACGGGTTGTGTAGACGCTGGTCGAGGTGCAGCAGTGGTCTGCGAACCACTCGACCGACAACTGGGCCGACCCCTGGACGTTCCGACCGGAGCGGTTCCTCGACAGCGAGGAGGAGGCCGCGGCCAAGGGCAACAAGTTCGAGGCGCTCCAGCCGTTCAGCGTTGGTCCGAGAAACTGCATTGGCAGGAAGTGAGTCACATCGCGCCCATTTTTTCTTTCTTTCTGCAGCCGAGTAGCTGATCATGATCGAACAGTCTTGCCTATGCCGAGATGCGACTCATCCTGGCGAGGGTGCTCTACGACTTCGACCTCGAGCTGGCGCCGCAGAGCGAGGGGTGGCTGGAGACGCAAAAGGCGTATTCGCTGTGGAACAAACCGCCCCTGGAGATCAAGCTGACACCTGTTGTGGGGGAGAAGGTCAAAGCTTGAGTAAGGTACCTTGGCGGCTGCTGTGCAAAGGTTGTGGTTTGAGGGAGGCTTGGTGGACAGGCTGCTGTTGGGACTATTTTCGGGCATTTGATGTAGGTAGTGTGGTGTTCACGGGCAGCTCATCGATTCATTCTCCTCAGCCCTGGTCTGTGGTCGCTGTACGTGCTGTGGCTATAGAGGGCTTCCAGGGGCTGATGCGCTGTAGCCAGTGTCAACAGCGCCGTGTCTTGTGTCTTCTGTGACTCAGAGGTCGTACGTGGTTCATCAGGGGAAGCTGCAGCTGTCTCTGCCCTGGAAGGTACGTCCCTACCCAGAGAAAGAGTGTGCTTCGAAGCAGGCGCTGCCGATGTGCTGCTTCTGGTGACGAGCAAGTCAAAGAAAAACAAAAGGGGGGGGGGAATAAGATCAGCTAGCATTGAGCGCCCCCGGGTCGCCTCGCCATGGGAACCGACCCCAAGATGTTGATATCATGCTTCGAAGGTTCCCTGCGCCCTCAACAGAACCGTATCCGGATATCATCGGCAGTTGTAAGGCGTGATGCTTATCTGGGGAAGGCGGATCGCCTGCAGGGGCTCCACCAATCCCCAAGCTGTGCCCTATCGCAGCCTGCCCGTTTCTTCTGTCCCTGACTCTGCCATCCGTTGATTGGCGGTGTATGACATATAGATTCAGGTACCTGACATGTGCAGGCGCGTTGCCAACTGCTCCTTCCTCAGGGCATTTCACAGTGACGAGAACCGGTGAGCTCTGCTCCCTCTCGACACTGATTTTCTCTCCTCATTGTCCATCTCGCCATGCGTTCCTCTGTTGCCCATCGACAGGTGCAGCTGCTGCGTGGCCTCAGGAGCGCGCCCGTGTGTCGCGCCAGGGGCCTCGCGCCCGTCTCACGGACGAGGGATCGTCTTGGGCATCTCACCCGGCCCCTCAGCCGCCAGACGACAGCACACGACGGCCGCGGAGCGCGTTTGTTCAGCACCGGCACCCAAGATGGCGACGAGGAGGAGCGTGGCTCGTACAGCGAGAGAGATCACGAGCATGCCGTCATCTCGACCTTCGACCTCTTCTCCATTGGAATCGGACCGTCGTCCTCTCACACTGTCGGACCCATGCGTGCGGGCAACATTTTCGTCGCAGATCTCATCGAAGCCGGCTTCCTCGACAAGGTCCACAGGATCCGCATCTCCATTTACGGAAGCCTTGCCCTCACTGGCGAGGGCCACATGACGCCGTCCGCTCTTTTGCTCGGTCTCGAGAGCGCAGACGTCGAGAGCGTCGACACGGCTTACGTCCCCGAGAGGTTCACGAAGATCAAGGAGCAAAAGGAGCTCATTCTTGGCCATGGCCTGCTCGGTAGTGAAGGCAAGAAGATTGCCTTTGACTACGAGCGCGACTTTATCTGGGAGTGGGGGAAGAAACTCCCCATGCACAGCAACGGCATGCGTTTCATGGTCTTCGACAAGGAGGGCTACATGATCGCCACAAACGACCTCTTCAGCGTCGGCGGTGGCTTTGTTGTCAACGGTGCCATGTCCATCAACCCGACCTCGGCTGCGCCCTCATCTTCGGATCACGGGGCCCTCGTCGATCCCAACGGGCCCGGAGAGGCTGGCCACCCGGCTGACCTGGCGGAGAACATGTACTACAAGGAGATTCGACGTTCCGACGCAGCGGGTGACCGCAAGACCGGTCCAGAAGTCAAGCTCGTTGAGCCGTCAGTCGAGCCGGGTGACTCGGCCACCTCACCGGCGCGGATTGGTCAGGGACAGACGGCAACCTTTGACGAAGCCCTGGCGCTTCAGCAGACCGAGCAACAGTCAGAAGGGTCGGGACAGCAGCAGCAGCCGCGGTACCCGTTCCGCGACGCCGAGAGCCTTCTGGCCTTGTGCGAGAAGCACAACCTGACCATTGCGCAGCTCGTCTACGAAAATGAGAAGAGCCATGGCTATACCGATCAAGAGATCCTCGAAAAGGTCTATCGCATCTGGGAGACCATGGACAACAGCATCCTTGAAGGTGTCCAGGCACCCCTGGACTCGGTACTTCCGGGATCTCTCAAGCTCCACCGCAGGGCACCGGCTCTCTACAGGAGGCTGACGAGGGGTCTCTACCCATCGCACACGCAGTCGAATCACAACAGCAAGGCGTCCGCGAGCCATGCTGACAGCACCAGGGTCAACGCCTCGGAGTCGCCAGCGAAGCCGCAAAAGAGCTTGGTGAGGCCCGAGATCAAGGGGCCGCGAACCCCAGCCAAGGTTCACGGGTCTTTCTTCCACCCAGTATCACCTTCTCCCTCACGAAGAACAGCATTCCCCGCCATGGACCACTTATCCGTCTATGCCATTGGTATGTTCCCCTGTGTTTTGAAGCAAGAAGTATCAGCCCTAACACTGGCCAGCGGTCAATGAGACCAACGCCAGCGGCGGTCGTATCGTGACGGCCCCGACCAATGGCGCGGCCGGCATCATCCCCTCTGTTCTCAAGTACACAATCGAATTCGTCAGCGACGACCCGGAGCGCGACATCCTGACGTTCCTCCTCACTGCGTCGGCCATCGGTATGCTCTACAAGCGCGGCGCCACCATTTCCGCCGCCGAGGGTGGGTGCATGGCCGAAGTCGGCGTCGCGTGCTCCATGGCCGCCGCAGGCTTCGCCGCCTGCATGGGCGGCAGTCCGCATGTGATTGAACAAGCTGCAGAAATCGGCATTGAGCACAATCTCGGCCTGACGTGCGATCCCATCGGCGGACTGGTGCAGGCGCCGTGCATTGAGAGGAACGCGCTGGGCGCTATCAAGGCCATCTCGAGCGCAAACCTGGCTCTCAGTGGGACCGGGTCGCAGAGGGTTAGTCTCGACGATGCAATCCGGGCCATGAGGGTCACTGCAGAGGGCATGAGGAACGAGTTCAAGGAGACAAGTCTTAGTGGGCTCGCCACGAGCGTTCCGTTCAACATTCCCGTCAGTGTGCCGGACTGTTGATCGCCAGGAAGGTTGATGGCGAGTCTGGGAAGGACGAAAACGGCGAATGAATGGATGAAACGTGCTTTTTTGTTGTCGTCTCACGCCTGCTGTTCACCGGTAGACTTGCTCAGAGACTGGCTAGGAGAAAAGAAATAGTGCCATGCGCATGCTAATACTACCCGAGAGGTTATGCAAACACCACAACAGTGAACGACCGGGCTGGTGACAGCAATGCTAGGATCTCATCTCCTGCATACGCCAATGCTCAAGACGTCATCCCCAGAGCCCCCAGGCTCTCCTCGGTCACCTCTTCATCGTCGTCGTCTTCCGCATCGTCATCATCATCGTCGTCATTGTCCACCAGATCAATCACCAGCACCGCCCCCGGACTCAGTGCATCAAGCTGGAACCCCGCCTGCAGAACACTCTTTGCGTCAAACACGCATCCCGACACGTCGAGGTCGACATCCTCGTCCTTGAGCGCCAAGCACACGGCGCGAAAATGCTCATGGTGCGCATCCAGCAGCTCTTCGTCCTCTCCCTCGTCGTCGTCCTCCTCGTCCTCCTCCTGTGGCGCCGCGTCGCCGCCGTCAAAGAGTAACATGCCGCCATTGTACGCATGGCAGAACGACCCGCCAGCCGTCGCTGGCGGCGTTTGTATCCTCCTCAGCACGGCAGCCAGCTGCGCCGGGGTCGTGGCGGCCGTGGTGGTGAGGCGCGTGAAGATGCGGCCCCGAAGGAGGGCGTCCGCGGCGGACGGGGACTCGGGCGAGAAGATGGTGACGTTGGGCGGCAGCTGCGGCGGCTTGGAGGCTGCGGCCGGGCCTGCATGGGGACGTGTCGTCGTTGATGCCATTTTTTGATAGGAGGGCGGGTTACATTAGCAACCCTTGGGCCTGAAGTTCATGCCCCCTTTTTCTTTTTTTTTTTTAGGGTGAAGGGGATTTTGTTGGTTTGAATTTTGAAAGCTGCCTGTCTAGTCCCGCGAAAAGTGGAGTGAAAGGAAGACGATCGACGGAGGGGAGCAGATCTTCCCAGGCGGGACGGGCCTTACTAAGCCAAGCCCAACCGGCCGGCCGGCCAGCGGGGGGGATGAGACAGGCTGATGGTTCGGGGCAGCATGTGTAGGGCTGAATGGTCTCTGTATTCCAGCGCTGTACAAGTGCGGCCAGCGATGGATGCATTGAGTGACGTGCCTGGGTGATACTTGAGCGCTTGACTCTACCTGCCTGCCTACCTAGGTACCTAAGGTAGGGAGGGTGATAAAAAAAGCTTCATCCCTAAAAGGTGAGCTCACTTTGAACCCTTCCACAGGTTCTGTACTTTATCCACATCGGCCTAAAACTCATAAAAATAAATATTTCCCAAAGTTGTCGCCAGTTGTCTAGCACCAAGAATTTTGGAGCATCAAATTAAGATACGAGGTGTTTAGAGGGCCCCGAAGTAAGGCGTCTGTCTGTCTGGATGATACCCGTTGTTTCGCGGATTGGAAGTGCGGCTCACTCTGTCACTCCCTTGCCTAGATAGGTTACTTCTGACACGGTTTTTTACGTGCGTACAATACACACGACGTGAAGCATGACAGATGCGGCAGCAGGCCGGCAATGCGGCACAGAGGACGGGAGCTAAACAAAACCTCAGACGGTTCCCAAACCCTCCCCGCCAAAAAAGGGGCGTGTTTCGCATCACCAAGACGGACGGGCACATTCGGCCACGATGAAACGACAGCCCGTGCGTCTCCACGTTTCGATCAAAAGACGGATCGCCCGCCTTTCCTGGGCCGCTCGTGAACCATGTGCTGCTCATCCTTCTTCGACGTGACGAGATCAATCCCCAGCATACAGCAACGGAAAGAAAGGGTGGGGGGAAAACAATACGAGAATACAGTCGACGCAGATGCCCTCCTTCCGAAGCTCGCCCGACATGATGGCCAAGGGCACAGGCTACGAGACGGTGCAGTTCGAAGACCACCACGACGACAGGAGCAGCACCGAGGTCGAGGAGTCGCTGATCGGCGACGAGAAGCCGTGCAGGAGCTGCTATGCCGCGAAGGCGCTCGAGGGGACGAGGCCCGGGCCCGGGAGAGAGAGGGGGAGGTGGAGGGAGAGGCTCGGCGCGCTCAGCGGCGTCGTCAACACGCTGCTGCTGCTGGCGAATCTCGGGCTGCTCGTCCGGCAGATGACGCGCGAGCCGCGGGTCAACACGTGGGATTTCGGTGGCGACCTGACCGGCGTGGGGCCGCGGTGTAAGTTCGCCTGGGGCGCGCAAAGACGAGGGTTGAACGGAGCGGTGCTGACAGGGAGCAAGTCGCCCAGCAGATCAAGGTCTTTGAGCCGGACTATGACGGGAAATTCGCGCCAAACGATACGTCGCTCTTCTTTACCAACGAGACGCTGAACAACTGGAACGAACTTATGCCGAGTGAGTGTCATCAAGTATCGTGATGAGGGTCCATCGACTAATGGAGGATAGTCGGCATGGGCTTCCAATGGGTGAATGACACACACAAGTACCATGACTTGCCGACACCCATCATCTGGCCCGGCAAGACGGTCTTCACGACATCCATCACGCATCAGCTCCACTGCTTGGTAGGTTCACGAAGACCCCTGGGTTGACGCTGAGAGGCTTGGACGTGCTAACCCTCCGCAGTTTGCTGTGGTACAGACATACTCAGGCCTCAAGTCGGATCATGAGCTCCCCGAGGACCACCACTGGCACATGATCCACTGCTTCGCGTACCTGCGACAGACCATCATGTGCTCTGCCGACACGGCATTGGAGGGTTTGGAAACCACATTTCCAGACCACAACGGCGGATCAGACGGTTGGGATTCGAAGCATGGTGAGTTCTAGGCAGGCGATACCGGCTGAGGCCCAAGCTAACGAAACGATAGTGTGTAAAGACTATGGCGAGGTGACGCGCTACCTGGAGAGTGTCCGGGCGTATGATGACCGGGAAATCTTCTAGACATCTGCCAGTTGCTCAGTGAGAATTAACATGACAATCTTAGCATTAGAAAAATTGCTCACTTTACCATATGGGGACTTTGATAAAATTACCAGGAGTTTTGTTGTACGAAAAGCTGCCTTTGCCGACCCAATTGCCTGGCCATGCATGCGGGAATCTCCGCGCTCGACGAACACCACGTTGAACGAGCTCAGAGAGGCAGACCCCTGAATGGTATGGTGCTAGACCACTAGGCAGGTCGGCGACCCTATACATTTTGCCCAACTCACCAGTACTATTCACAGATAGGTATGGCCCCGCTGAGACTCAGCTCTGGAAGCAGGCTTCGCACAACCTCTGTCTCGATCTGGGATCATATCAACTGCCGTCCTCAGACCAGAAAGCCAGGCACTGCTTGCAGAGGAGCACATCTCCATGAATTCAGAAGGCTAGGATCTGCCAAGCGCTGGGTATTGGTTTTTGCGTGAAACAGCCAATGATCGAGGTCATTCCTGTTGAGCTGCTAACAAGCAAACTGCCTTTTAGGGCATGGCTCACCCGCCCCGTGATGTGCGCGAGTAATACTGGCCACAGATCTGACTACGGTATCTTTAACATATTCGGAGTGGCGTCATCCGCGTGACTGTGATGTACGCTTGAATCCGTCCAGTCGCGGCATAAAGAGACCCTTGCTGTTATGCAGCTCTTGTCGTTTTCTGCTGATCGACGGCCACTCTACTTCATTGCCTCATGGAATCATGAGACGAAGTTTCCCAAGCCCAAGGGCTGACTGACTGGATCTCAAAACAACTCACTGCATATATGTAGATCAATTGTTCCGGATCACGTTCATCCGACAACGCGCTCTTCTCTGGAATCCCAGAGCTCACTGTACATGGAGTAGACCTGGCCGCGGTGTGTCTCTGAGTGAGCCGGGAGTATTCCAGCTGAAAGGGACTACCGGCGGTTCCGATTCGTATCCCGATGGTTTTACGCCCCTCCAAGACATAGGCCGTGCCATCGACTATTTAACACCCGTATAGCTCAGCCGCACAACGCCATGGCCCTCATGGTGCAGTTTGTGGGATCGAGAAGCGTGTTCAGCGGGTGCCTTCTCGATTTCCCGCGGGGGCCGGCCTGACTCTAAGCAAGATTAACTCTATCTCATGACGGGCCGTAATCACGGACGCCCCTACATTAGGGCGGTCAGAACATCAACGACACCGTCCTTGATGGGCCAAGGGATATTTCGGCCATAGGGGCTGTACAGAGAGCAATGCTCCCTCGCTCGTTCTCCGTGCTGCGCCTCACCCATGTACGGCATCCTCCGTTCAGCAGCGCGCTGGCGGCGATTGCAAGCAAGGGCACGATCCCGGACGGGCTAGTCAACCCGCACGCCAACGCTAAATGCATCCGGGGAGGCCTTTTCCCATGCTCTCTGCTGCGTTATCGAGATGCAGATCGAGGAGGGCCGTTTGTGAATCGTGCCTACAACATTCGCATTCGCTAACGCCGACTCCATAACACCTGCCGGTTCAGGGCCGCTGCTTTGCGTCCACTCTGATCGACAGCCACGTTTGACTTGGCCGCTCTGGGTCTGCCCCCTCTCCCCCCCCCTGGTCTCCGCCCTACTGCCACGTTGGGAGAAATGACCGTTGGGACCGCCAAGCAACGAGACGAAAAGGGGTTGGAGAGCGGACAGGGTATGCCGGAGTGAGAGACACAAAGTTGCCCATGCTCCAAGAGGGGGTCGAGACTGCCAGGTGGGTTTCTGTGCTGTTTTAGTGCCGATCATTTTGTTCCGGCCAGTGATTGATTAGTCTTTGTTTTCTGTGTGGGATTGCGGCTTTGCGCCACCTTTGTGATAGTGGAAAGGATGAGGGCGGGAAGAGCGGTAAGACGTGTGCCATTGATCGAAGCCGTGGAATGGTTTTGTCGAGGCGCGCTCCGAGAGTTTCTCCCGCAGCGACAGAAAGCCGTCGTGGTGGCGGATTGTTGACTTTTTATTTTCTTTGTTATTTCCCTTGTTGGGGACGATGACGGGGTTCTCGATGCGTGATCCCCCGTGGCGGACATGCTGGCAGGCACGTACCATATGTACCTACCTCCGCAGGGGCTAACGCCGAAGCTCTGATCCCAGGCAGGCGTGTCGCGGTGGAGCTGACAGCTGCGTGCTTGCCTTCCCTTCCCTGCCCCTTTCCTTCCTGGGCAGCTTGTCAGGGGCGGCCGGGACATGCTGCTGCCTCTGGAGAGGGCACGGTAGGTGGCTGCTAAGGTGCCTAGGCTGGCAGGTGCCAGACATGCTGAGGAAGGTGCACTGGTCTCGCCCGGACGAGGTAGGCAGGCAAGGCAGGCAGCCCCCTCAAGCACCCAGGCTTGCCAGGCCCTCGGAAGGTGCTGCTGAGTGTCGAGGTGCGTGAGGGAGATGCTAGGGCAGTTGGAGGCTAGGATGCTCCTGCTGAGGCCGCTGGTTCGCGCTAGGGCGGCACTTGGATGCAACCACCTGGATGCGCGCGGCGCCTGACTAATGCTCGGGACGGTGGGCCATTTGCTTATGACTCGGCCGAATTCCCTGCTCATAAGCTCCTGAAGCCCTCCCCAACCAGGTCCAGAACAAGAGACGCCTCTCCCATTTTCCAGATTTCCGGATTCCGGGGGCCACCCACGTGTTGGTCCTTTTACCTGTTGCATGCATCGCACCGTCAGATAGGTCATTCACTCCTCCACAGTGAGGTGAGGTAAGGGCTCTGTAAGCAAAGAGTGAGCGAGCGAGACAAGGCAGAGAGAGGCAGAGAGAGGCAGAGAGGACAGCGTGAGGAGGCGCCTGTGCTGGCTGCCCACCCGTCCGATCAGACTGATCGGACCACCTGATCTGCCTGCCCTTGCTTCTACGACATGAGCCAACCCGAAGAGGCCTTTGAGATCCCGGCACCGCGGAACCGGGCTGTGAGTTGCATCCATCCATCCATCCATTGGGAACGGTCCCTTTCCAGCTTGATCGAGTGGGACAGAGTGCTGACGATGGATTGATTCCGGCGTATGCAGTGCGACTTGTGCTTCGCGAAAAAGGTGAGTGACAAGAGGCGAACACCAACACCAACACCAACAATACACCACCTCCCCCGCGATGCAGTCTTGTCGACGGATCCTCCGGAATGATCAGCCTGCGAGAGACTGACACTGGCTTTCCAGATCAAGTGCGACCGATCAGATCCGTGCTCACACTGCGTGTCTCTATCAGCCGCTTGTATCCGGGCGCGGCCCAAAAGGCGAGGCAACCCAGACTATGAGAGGTAACGTTCCCCGTTTGCCAAGATAGGCATCCAGTTCATCATCGCAAGGCACCCGACGTGCCCTATCTGCTGCTCATCGGCTCACATCCTTGACCAACCCAACAGACGCAAGATAGCCGCTGCCGTGCGGCATGCGAGCCAGCTCGCCGGCGCCGCCAATGCGAAGACGCTTGGCGTGCCCACCTTTGCACGACCAGACGGCGACCGCCAGAGCGAGACACCATGGCCTAACGTCGTCGAGGCTCCGAGGGATGCGAATCAGCCGGATGCCTCCAGCAGTAAGGACCATGCGTCCCAGTCGTCAGGCTTCTCGCCGACCGTAAGCACGCGGAAGCCTTTCCGCCAGGGACTCCTCAAGCAGGAGTACGAGCACCGTCCGGCGAGAACGCCGAGACCCGATATTATGAGGGCGCATTCGCATGGTGCCGGCACGCAGGCGCAGACCATGTTGGAGTTTGAGCTGCTGGCCGGCAAGGGCATGGATGTCGGGAGGCGGGAGGTGCTGAAAGCTGCCGTCGCCCTCTCAAATCAGCCTTCGACGACGACACCGCAGATTGACCCCGAGGCCGAGATCTACAGTGGACTGGACCTTGATGACGAGTCCATGTACCCCTCGGCAGAAGTTCTGCATTTCATTCTTGACGGTACGTTCCTCCACTGTTCTGTCTACCAAGAGCTGGTGACTAAGTGACCGTGAATAGCGCCCGCGCAACATCAAAGCGTCGGGCTGTCCTACATCTTGGACATGGTATCGCGGGAGACGATTGAGAAGCAAGGAATTGCTCTGATTGAAGGCACAGCCAAGGGTCCCGCTCGACTACACTACATGGTTAATCTCAACTACGCCGCCTGGCTTTACCTCCACGCAACAATATCCGGCACCATTAGTCCAGCCATGAAGCAACACCTCATTCGAAGGCGAGAACACTACGAGGCGAATCTCCTCGCAGCCGTCCATTCCATCGGTGTACTCGACGTGCCAAGCCTCTCGTTGTTCCAGGCGCTGCTATCTGGGGTACGTTTTTCCTTGCCTTCTTTTGGTCCGGGGGCATCAGGCACTGACATGACTAGACCATGTTCATGATTCACACCGGAAGGGTGGAGAAGAGCTGGAACCTAAGCTCGGCAGCATCGCGAGTCTGTGTTGCCCTCGGTGGACGCTATTTCACCAACCTGGCTACGACCGCGAACAGCGCAGAAGCAACTGCCGCGCGGTACTGCCTAACGCTATGCTTCATGTTCGACAAGTCGCTGTCTCTCACCATGAATCGTGTCTCGGCTTTACCCGACATCAACCTGAACGTGGCCATGGTCACACCTTTTGACCCTTCCCGCCCGTACACTGCATTGCCCGACGTCTATCTCGAGTTTGCGCTGGTACAAGACGAAATCATCAAGGGCAGGCAGCGCCGTCCCGAGGTCAATCGGCAGATGGATGTCGTGCAGAGCCTTCAGCAGAAAATGTGGCCCATTGGTGAGAAGATCCGCCATGTGAGTGTGCGCCGTGCTTTCGTTGCACAAAAAATTGTCCTTGTTGCACGCGGGCACTAATACTATCTAGTTCCGGTCAAAACCTCTGAACGATCAGGACGCCTATCTTGCTGCCGAATGGATCGGCGCCGATTTTGTGTATCACTCGATTATGACGGCCATCTTTCGACTACATCCAGGCCTCTCAGAAGACGGTGGTCTCCTTGACCAGATGATGGGACATGCTCGACTGGCTCTTTCGTTGCTGAACGAACTCCTCCGCACATCGAAATCGCTGACCAAAGTGGACACTTTGAAAGCATCCATAACATGGTTAGCATCTCTCGCTGTAGGCCACTCCGGGAGCCCCCCCCTTGCTGACATGAATCAGGATCTTACTCTGCTACCCTCTATACCCCTTCTTCATCCTCTTTTGTCACGTCGTCAACGTTCCGGGCCCACAAGACTTCCAACTCCTCGTTGAAACAACACAAAACCTTACGGACTTTTCGCACATTGATGGTGCCATTGCCGGTGTCTGTCGGCTGTTCGAGAAGTTTGTCACCCTCTGCAGACCGCTCGTGGAAAAGGAGAGCCCGGCCGCCTCGCCTGAGACGGGTGCCCAGCAACAGCCTCAGCAGCAGAAGCCGGGGCGGCCACAGCAAGACCGAGGCGAGGGGATGCACATACTGGCGAATATGTTCCGGAAGCCCCCTGGTCCTATGGGGAACGAGACTAACGTCATGATGGGAGGCGTTGAGCCGACTGTGCCCATCTTTACGGGAGGAGACATGAGCATGGCCTACGGTGGGCAGCCACACGGGTACGATCCCATGTCCCACATCAATACGCTGGGCGAGGAGGACCTGCTTTTGCAGTTGGGGAACACGCATCCGTCCCTGGAATGGATCGAAGGTGCTTGGCCGACGTGAGAGATGCCTCGACCAGCCAGTGGTCTCTTTTGCGTCCTCAAACATGACGCAGAGAAGTGTATTTTGAACTGTCTCGATTGTTGACGCTGAAGTGTACAAAGCAAGCCTCGCTCAATTCTGTTTCATTCAAACAAAACACACAAGACTCCGAGCTATATATTATGTGCCTGGCCTACGTCGGACACAGGCTGCCGTGGTGCTTACTTACTCATGCTAGTAATGAAAATCATAATCGAGACCTCAGCACGGGCTGTGCCTGTTCGTCCCTCTGCAACCCGATTTCCGTCCTGATGGTGGCTTGCTGATGCAAAGGTTCCGCCACGACTGTGGCTTTGATTCGACGCCCAAAATACTCAATCTCGACGCCGTCCCCGACGTTCACCTCGATCGGCAGGTAGCCATAGGCGATGGGCTTCCTGACGGTAAACCCAAAAGCCGCATTCGTCACATAGCCGGCCACTCTCCCGCCAACATAGACCGGTTCCTTTCCTAGGACCACCGATTGTCCATCATCGACAGTGAAGCAGCGCAGTCGCCGAGATGGCTTCACAGTCGAGAGCCGTCTGAGGGCCTCGTATCCGACGTAGCCCGTCTTGTCCGCGTCGACGGCGAGCGCCAGACCAGCCTCAAGCGGATTGTGCTCGGTCGTGACATCAGCGCCGTAACTGCGGAATCCAGCCTCGAGCCGCAGCGCGTTCAAGGCGGCCCGCCCCGCGGCCACGACGCCGTGGGCCTGACCGGCGTGCCACAGCAGATCCCAGAGGCGCTGGCCGTGCTCGGCAGTCGTGTGGATCTCGCAGCCGGGCTCGCCAACAAACGACACGTTCATCACCGTCACGGGGATCTGCGCCACCGTGGCCGTCTTGGCGCGGTATGGCGGCAGGCCCGTTTCGGACATGTCGTCCGGGCTCAGGGACGCCAGCACGGCCGGCGCGCGCGGGCCCCAGAGCCCGATGCAGCAGGTCCCGCCCGTGATGTCGCGCACCTGTGCGTACTTTTCGGGGGACGCCCGGCTCTGCGCCCGCGCCGCCCGCGCGAGGTACGCGTGGTCGACGGGCCCGTTGACGGCGAGCTGGAAGCTGTCGTCCTGCAGACGGGCCACGAATATGTCGCTCTTGACGCCGGCCTTGTCGTCGAGGAGCAGCGTGAACGTGACGCTGCCGACCTCCTTCGCGACGTTGCTCGTCGTCAGCTTCTGCAGCAGGTCGACGGCGCCGGGGCCCGCGACCTCGAGCCGCCGGATCGGCGTCAGGTCGTACATGGCCGCGGCCGTCCGCGTCTTCCAGGCCTCGACGGCGGTGATGGGCGAGTCGTACCGCGCCGCCCACGCGTCGCGCGCCCGCGGGCGCCACGCCGCCGGCAGCGCCGGCAGCAACGCCGCGTTGGCCTCGAACCAGTGCGGGCGCTCCCAGCCGCCGGCCTCGAGAAAGTAGGCGCCGAGATCCTCGTGGCGTGCGTGGAACGGGCTCACGCGGAGGTTCCGCGGCGCGTCGCGCGGCTGCAGCGGGTGCAGAATGTCGTAGACCTCGACAAAGTTCTGCTGGCCCGTCTCGCGGACGTAGGCCGGCGTCAGCTGGACGCGCTCAAAGCGCGCGAGGTCGCAGTCGGCGAGGTCGGCGTCGGCGCGGCCCGTCGTCAGCAGCTGCGCCACGGCGCGCGCGACGCCGGCCGAGTGCGTCACCCACACGGCCTCGGCGACGAAGAAGCCCTCGAGCGCGGGCGCGCGGCCGATGAGCGGGCCGCCGTCGGGCGTGAAGGACATGATGCCGTTGAAGCCGTGGGCGATCTCCGCGTCGCGCAGCGCCGGGAGGAGCGTCTGGCTCAGCGTCCAGGCGGGCTCAAAATCCTCGGGGGTGAAGTCGAGGCGCGACGGCATGTCGTGCTCGGAGACGTTGGCGCGGGTCTCGCCCAGCGAGGCCGCGACGACCGGCAGTGGACGGTGGCCGTAGAACCCGATGCCCACGTGATCGCCGTGCTCGCGGTAGTACAGGTCGCGATCCTGGTGGCGCAGGATGGGCAGGCTCGCGCTGTTCGGCGCCGGGTTCTTCGCCTGGAGCGCCGGCACGGCCGTCGTCTTGGCGTACTGGTGTGCCACTGGCTGCAACGGAATGGGCAGGCCGACCATGGCGCCGACTTCGACGCCCCAGAGGCCGGCGCACGAGATGACCATGTCGGCCGGAATGGTGCCGCCGCTCTTGGTGATGACGCCCGTGACGCGGCCGTCGCTTCGTTCAAACCCCGTCACCGGCGTCATGTCCAGGTACGTGACACCCGCCTTGCGCGTGCGCTCGATGAGAACCTGCACAGCCTTGGCGGCCAGAGCCAGCCCGTCGGAGGGGATGTGCAGACCGCCGAGGACGACATCGTCGCTCAGCAGCGGGTACAGCCTGCGGCAGGCCTCGGCGCTGATGAGGCTCGACTCGATGCCCCAGGACGACGCGTAACCACGTTTCCGCTTGAGGTCCTCGAGCCTCTCCGGCGTCTCGGCCACCTCCAGGCCGCCGACCTGGTGGAAGCAGCCGATCGAGAGCAGCTTCTCGACGGTGTAGCTGGCGAACGAGGTCAACGTCTTGGACGGGTTCGTCTGGAACACGAGCCCCGGCGCGTGCGATGTCGAGCCTCCCGGCATCTGCAGCGGGCCCTGCTCGACGACGGTGATGTTGGTCCATCCGCGCGCGACCAGCTCGTCGGCAATGTTGGTGCCGACGATGCCAGCGCCGATGATGACGACGCGCGGGGTGGCCATGGTCCGGTCAGCCGCGGTCCGATGCGTGAACGGGAGAATCGCAAAAAGGGGGATCAGGTGTCTACGGTTTGGGAAAGAGATGGGTAGGCTGTTGGTTCATCAGAGAAAAGGGGGGCAGCAGAATCATTCTCATCCTCTCCTCAACGTATGAGGATTTGACTTATAAGTCATCCGAGTATCATCAAATCCCATCGAGAACCCCGCCATCAAACTCTACCCGCTCCGCCCAGTGACTTCATCCGCGTACCGCACTAGAGAGCAGAGCCGCCCTCCTCCGCGTTGCTGATTGCCAGGCCACGGGGTGGTGGTAGGGGCAATCGTTTCGCTCGGGCGCCAGAGTGCCGTCGAAAGGCAGGTCGTTTCGTATCGCATCGACTCCGGTCATGTGATCGGCTTCACACGCCGCCTCGCCCGCGCCGCGACGCCCGTTTCCCTCCCCGCCCGCCTCTCAAGTCAAAACAAGCACACAACAAACGAGACGTTTTGGGGGTTGTCTTCTCTATCACCACGCTCCCCTTCAGGTATCCCAGATTCGGTCAAAGCTACGCCTCACTTGCTGGTGCAGGGAGACGTGGTCCTCGCCCCCTCCCCCCTTTCGCCGCCGCCAACGCCGCTCTGACACTATCCTCTTTCCACTCGGGCATCAATCTCGGGGTCTTGGGGAGGGTGTCGCGGCCGCTGACCTCCCCCCTCCCCTTTCCCCCTCCTTTCCAGAGGCGACGGCTGTGTCCTCGTGGTGCGGGCAAGCCCCCTCCCCTGGCCATGTACCCCGCGTTCGCGGTCGAGACCTTATCAGGATCAGCTGGGATCGGTAACGACGAGGTGTGTCGTGGTGGGGCTCTCCTATCGGGCGCGGCGAGACGCCGACGTGGTGCATCACGATGGCGTCCTTCTCACGCACCTGATGGCATGCGTCAGCCATGGCCGTCGCGCCGGTGTCGGCGGCCGGCACATGTTGGGGCCACGATAGTATGAGTCGGCAGGCATGACATGGCAGGCATGACATGGCCTTGGGGCGTCGAGAGACGGGACATGGCTGAGGGTCACGAGGGGGGCACTCGGGTGGAGAGGCACGGTTGATGAATGTGATGCGCAGAGGCATCATGGCTGCTCACCATATCTGGCGAGACTATGTAGCCTGCTCAGGAATGAATGAGTATAGCATCGGAGTCGTACAGTGATGGGGCTTTGAGAAGTTATAACTTCTTCCAATGAGAGAACAAGTCGATAGTAGACGTGTCTCAACACGCCACCACTGTCTCGATAAGGAACAACCAGCTCGGTTGGGACATAGCCTGTCGACTGCCGGCGCTATACAAACCTTGCGGTACGACGTCTGGTGGATCAGCTTGGAGGCGAGACGTCTTGTTTTCATAGTCTTTATGATGATGAGATTGATCGTACACACAATTAACATTTTGGGGCTCCCTATATCCCAACGCCATCTCAAAGCCAAATCGAAATGAACCAACGCCGTCGCTAAAAGTGATTGAACATGATATTGTCAAAGTTTTCGTCCTCCCACCACGCATTTCCTGGCTCGGATTGGTTGTAGCCAATGTCTCCAATGCTGAAAAGCTGGGAAGAGTCCGCGTACAGCCACGGCGTGGTGTTGAAAGTCAGACTGTCAATCTGCTCCACGGTTGGCGGATCATAGGGCGCCACCTGTGGAGGATGCAGGCCGGGATTGACCGGTGCCTTGAATGATAAGGTCGGAGAGTCTTGCCCACCGTCGGCCGTGTTGATGGATATCTCGGGCGATGTTGCCACCACGATCTCAAGTGTAGAGTTCTCATCGTCTTCATCCTGCCGCAGGGCGGTTGTGAGCGAATCGGCCAGGAGGCCAGAAGTTGAGATACCTTGGGCGTCGGTCGTCGAGTTGAACTGTAGAATTCTCCACATCAACGGCACGCTGAGATAAATTCTCGACGGCATCCAGTCTTCGACATCCATTGTTTCCGACCCAGCTGCGATGCGTGTCATCCTATCAAGGTCACGGTCCTGGGTCGTGTCAGTTGCAGTACCGAGGAAGATGCGGGAGCCACGTCAACGTACGAGGGCGCCGCAGGCAGCGGAACAAGGGATGAAGCTCTTCAGAAATCTCCTGCACTTGGCAAAGTCTGTGTTTGACTTGTGCTTCAACCTGGCCGCCGCCGCGCAGCAGTAATACAGATGCACTGTTGCCGCAATGGCGGCGGCATGCCCGAAGAACGGGTCGACCAGAGCGACTTGTTTATCGACTACCATGTCGATCATCCGGACAATCCACGTGGCGTGAAGCAAGGCTTGCTCGGATGAACGTCGCCAAAAGGTGTTGGGGATGCCTAGGTTGGGGTTGTGCTGCGCTCCAATGATGTAGAGAAAGGGATGGTTGAGGACCGTGGGAATGACGTGGTACGTGAACTGTTCCTTCAGCCACGGCGCCCAATAGTCGCGGTTCATCTTGAGCTCCTCGACCTTGCGCTCATAAAACTTGACTGAGTCGTATCGATGACACATGGGGATCCTGTTCTCCGTCTCCATAAAGTCGGACAGAACCTTGGCATAGGTCGAATCGTGTCGCCAGGGCTCCTGCAGAATGTTGTGGGAGCAGTCGGACACGTATTTTCTGACCTGGCTCCAGACCCAGCCTAGGTGGACGCTGGTGTTCCAGATGCCCGGCTCGCTGGGCCTCGTGGTTCCGAGTTCGTCTTTTGGTAATGGCGGAACCTTCGACTTGGGTTCTTTTTGCTTCTCGCCCGTGGAGTGAAACGCCGGCTGCCAAATATCCGTCGGGACGCTCAAAAGGCCATCTTGTCGGCCGTAGGACTGTTCAAGAAGCTGAAGGCTCCAAAACAACCGCTTCTTTCGCTCCGTGATGGCGTCTCGAACCAGGTATACCGACTCCGTATCCAGCATGGCAGATCTACAAAGTTGGAATGCAAGACCCAGGTGAAACTGCCCAAGATGAACGTTCCCGTCTGGTCGTTGTCAGTGGTCGCCCTTCAAGGAGAGGTCCGTAAAAAAGGGGGAGGGCAGAGAAAGATACCTATAAATGCAGCATAGGACAAAAGACAGAGGCTTTCGATGGTCGTCAAATCGACAGACCCATTGGCGATGCGCAGCATGATCAGCGTCTTTGCGTTGTTGCCGTAGAGGTGGAGATGGTCGCATTTCTGAGAGAAGCGCGACGTCACAGCCAGGATGCTGCAGGCGAGCTCCTCCGGCAGAGAGCCATAATCCGAAACCTCGTCACGCTCAAAACACCAGATGGGCTGCCTGTGACAGAACTTGAAATAGAGGTTGATGCCGTTGGCCATGTCGGATCGCCCTGGCCGCAGGTTGGCCAGGTCCGGGTCGAACATGGTGGGAAATGGATTCGTTGTCGGGAAGTTGGCGGCGTCTCGCGGCGGCGGCGAGACGGAGAAGGACTCCTCGGGCGGCGACGTGCTTCCGTCCTCGTTTGCTTGTTGTTGGCCCTGGTACCTCGGATGCTTCGCCCTGTGAGCCGGGTCAGACCGCTTCAAACGCGTTGGCTTTTGGGTTGGTGGTCAGTACAGGGCTCCTCCGCTGAGGAGAAGATCCAGCTTCTCTTCGAGGCTCTGCAGCCTCTCATCCTGTGCAGCTGTCAGCCGGGGGTCACGATAAGGAGTTGGGGCAGCGGGAGATCAGTACCGAGCGTCCACCGGGCGATGGCTTGTTAGGGGGGTAAGAGCAGGCCTGGCTCAGGCGAACGCAACTTGAGCATGACGGCTTCTCGCCCGGACACCGGGTCTTCTTGCGCCTGAGGAGGGGGCAGTCAGCTCGGCACCGCGACGGCGAACAGGTGGAATCAGAGACCACTGACCGGCAATTGAGACAGGCATGATAGGACCGCCGTTTACCTCGAGGAGCAGCAGCAGGCGCGGTGCCTCTCTCGGGCGACATGACGAAGGATCCCTCCCAAGGTGAAGGTCTTGGTTGAACGCTGGGGGGGGATGCCGAGAGATGGAGGGGGAAGGACATGTCCTTGTTAAGTAAGACTAGGACGAAAGGGTCGGTACCGACGCCGACCTTGCCCCAGGGAGGTTACGCTGGGCCCAAGGCAGTAACGCTCCCGCCACGACCCCGCAATGCCCGCAGTGCCTCCCCTACGATGCCTGCAGTGCCTGTAGTGCCTGCTGCAGTTGGCACCGATAAGACACCCGTGGTGCTGTTCGCTACTATCGCGGGGTTCATTGGCCACGCAGTACCACCTACCTTCTAGGTGCCTAGGTACGTGCCTAGGTGCCTAGGTACGTGCCTAGGTGCCTAGATAGGTGCCTAGGTACCTAGGGAGGTATCTATAGACTTACGCCCGCGTTACGTCACGTGCCCATCCCCCTCCTTTCTCAGACAACTCAGAGAAACGAAGGACATGGACCTAAACCGTATAAGTTGCTCCTTTCAAATGCTTGCCCGTTCCGTATTTCTCCTCTATCATAGGTACGTACCTGGCCCATAGAAGACAAAGACAAAGGCACCATTCCAGGGCAAATGCCATGTCGCTGCTGTCATGATTTGAAGGCACATCTGCTCCCCACGCTCACCCCCCCCTTCCCTCATCCTCCCCTTCCCTCATCCTCCCCTCCCAGGAGAACGCAATGCATGCAGAGCGAGTAAGGTTCATTACAACCTCGCTACGGGATCGACAAGCTCACTCATCTCCGCATTGGGATACTCGCAGTTGTCTGACGAATCAGGCCGTTCCCGGTCCCACGCCCACCTCTCCTTCAAGTCAGGGGAGAGCGAGTCCTCGAGCATCTGCACAATGTACTTGCCAAGCACGGGGAAGAACTTAAACCCATGGAACGAACCGCAGGTCGCAACGTACAAGCCCTTGGCTGCAGCGTGGGGTGAGATGATGAAATCGGAGCTCGTAGTGAATGCATCCCTGCCCAACAGTTCAGCACGCCGACCTGGCGTTTCCTTTCCTTGGGTAGGGGGGGGGACGTCTTACCAGCAGATCCGGTGCTTGGTCATGTTCCAGGATTTGCTCTTCTCGCCATACCACAGGTTCCGCGCATCGGCCACATCTTCCTTCAGCCGCTTCGAGACTTTCCACTGGGAATAGTCTCGGGCTGCGGGAGGTGCCGACACGTGCCGACCAGGAACCACTTCGTGCGTGTTGGCGAAGATCTTGAGTCCCCACCACTTGAGCTCTCTGTCTTTGGTAGGAGGAAGACTGCCAACAAATGGTTTGCCTTTTTGGATGACGGTCAGCGGCGTGAGCACATCGTTCCTGACGCGGTGCGTTCGTTCTTACCATGCTGAGCAGTATACCCCTGAAAGCCGACGGGCATGTCCACGTATGTCTTATACTCTCGCTCGTCGAGCTGCGCCATGCCTGTCGTGATGCCAGCAGCCAGGATACGGTCACCGGCGCGGAGACTCGTCACACCGCTCCTCGCAGCGCTCAACTCCAACAGCTTGGGCGTGTAGGCCCCCGTGCACAGAATCACATGCGCAGCGCCGAGCACCTGTCCCGATGCCGTGACGATGCCCGTGCAGACGCCGTCGGGGCCCAGCTGCAGAGCCACCGTCTCGGCAGCAACGTACCTGACGCCGAGCTCGATGGCCTTGCGGGTCACCGCCCGCAGGCAATCGCCGGCCGCCGCCCAGCCGCTCGCCCTGTTCACGAGCACCTCCGTGACGCCGTCGTAGTTGGCGTCCTCAAAGATGCCGTTGTACAGCTTGCGCGCCTCCGCGACCGGCAGCGCGATGATGTCGTCCTTGCGCCCGAGCCTGCGGTGGTGGTCAATGACGTTCTGCGCATAGTCGCTGCGGCAGTTCCAGTACACGCCCGTCCGGTGGAAAAAGGGCTTCCACAGCGGATCCGTCTTGAAAATGTCCTGCGCCTCCAGGGCCAGCTGGCAGTAGGTGAAGTCGTCGTAGTCGGCGCGCACGACCTTGTTCCAGTCCCAGGACGCCGCCACACGCTCCTCCGCATCATAGGCATCCCTGTCGACCAGGGTCACCGTTGCGTCGGGGTATTTCTGGATGAGATGATAGGCCGTCGATACCCCGAACACACCAGCCCCAACGATGAGATAGGACGCCGTGTTCGCGGCCATGCTGATCCTTGGGAGAGGGTGGGAGGGGGAAAACAAAATGCAGGGGCAACAAAGAACTGGAGTAGATGCAAGAAAGCGCAACACGAATGACGCGAAATGATGTATGCCAAAGGGTCCTCACTGACTTGCGATGCCCGATGAGTTTGCTGATACCGCCGTGATACCGCAGAGGGGGGGCGTGGGAGGAGGTCGGTCCAATTTAGGCCTGTGAATACGTCCGTGCCATGCCACGAGCGGCATGGTGGCTTATCTAGAGACAAACTCGGCCCCCTCGATCCCCCGCCTTTTCGAAAGCATCGACGTTCCGACATCGGGTGGGTGACCGGCCGATGTCCGATCACGTGTATCAGTTTCCTGGGCCTCTGAAGTGTCCATTTGCATCTCGAAACGTTATCTGGCTCTTTTTTGGTTCTTGCTATGATGATGGACAATCTAGACCATGACGATTCGGAAGTGACATGCTGTCGTTTCGTTGCGATGATCGGCTGCTAAATACACTAGCATCTCGGGTGGCTATGCATTCTACATGTGCCTTACCCGACATGGATATTTTGGGATGAAGAAGATACGAAGCGCCATGGCATGCCAACGGGGTCCGTCTCAACCCCCCAACGTCCCCCTCCTCTCCTCCCCCGCCGCACCCTCCTCATTATCGATGCTTGACTCGCCGCTGCCAAGTCATCGTCACTCTTGCAACGCACAGGACGCGGGCAGTTCGGCCTCGTGACCGCTCACAGTCCCAGACGCGGCCACGTTGCACCGAAGGGAGCGCGGATTGTACGTAACATGATGGTGCCGAGAGATTCGAGGCGGCGAACGGGAGTCAAACATCCGCGAAGCCGACGCATCGTGACACCCGGTCTCATGGGACATGAACTCTATTACGCTTCCCGCATTTTGGGGGGGAGGCCTTGGCGCGCGACGGAACTCTTTGGGGTTGAGTATGGGACCGCCCGTGGTCACGATGCGTCCCTGCCCAGGGTTGGAGAGTCCCG